AATTCCAGCACTTTGGGAAGCCAAGGCAGGAGGATCACTTGAGATCAGGAGTTCGAGACCAGCCTGGCTAACATGGAGAAACCCTGTTTCCACTAAAAATACAAAGATTAGCTGGTTGCGGTGGCGCATGCCCGTAATGCCAGTTACTCAGGAGGCTGAGGCAGGAAAATCACTGGAACCAAGGAGGCAGAGGTTGCAGTGAGCCGAGATTGCACCACTGCACTCCAGCCTGCGTGACAGACTGAGACTCCATCTAAAAAAATAAAAAAAGAATTCCTCACCACAAAAAGTTGCATGATGATCTTGGCAATCCATCTGCTCCCAAACCCAGACCCAGCTTTCTGCCACTGTGCTACTACCTTTCCTGGAAGTGAAGCAAATAAAACTTTAAGTATTTCATCTTTTGTGCCTGGCTTCCTTTACTTACCCAATGCTTTAAAATTCAGCTACATGATTTCCTGTGTCAGTACTTTAATACTCACTAGGATTCCATTGTGTGGATGCAATAGGATGTTGATCCATCCTCTTCAATGGAGGGTTGGGTCATTTCTACTTTCTGGTTATTTTATGTAAAGCTATATTAACATTGCTTGTCACCTCTGGACTGGACTGGAGCTGGACTCCCAGGCAGTCCTGGGTAGAGATGGGCCTTGGGAGCAGGAAAGGCCAGGATATGAAGACAACTGGCAGCCACAGGACTAGAGCTCCGGCTTCTTTTTGAAAATGTTTCTCTGGCTGCCACACAGGAATGATACCTTTTCCAGGGTGGTGTCAACATGAAAGGGAATGTATTTGGCACTACAGCAATTCCAGCTGCTCTTCGGGCCCTCAGCCTCCAGGTTCACTCAGTGACCGTGAGTGGAAATAGATAATTAAGATTAGTCACGGCCGGATGGGGTGGCTCATACCTGTAATCCCAGCACTTTGGGAGGCCGAGGCAAGAGGATTGCTTGAGCTCAGAAATTCAAGACCAGCCTGGCAACATGGCAAAGTCCCCTCTCTACAAAAATTACAAAGATTAGCTGGGTATGATGGTATACTCCTAGCTACCTGGGAGGCTGAGGTGGGAGAATGGCTGGAGCCCAGGAGGTTGATGCTGCACTGAGCTGTGATTGCGCCACTGTACTCCAGCGTGGGTGAGGAAATACAAGATTAGTCATAACAGCACAAAAGGAAAGGAGCAGACAAGATAAGGATCCATCCACTCAAGATAAGGCCCCCACACAGGGCCAATTGCTGTGATTACCTTGGGCCCTCAGGACACAGATTTGAGGACCAACCCAGAGGTCTTGAAATGGAGAGAAAATCAAGCTTAGTCTTGATGGACACCATCACAAATGTCACCTTAAAGCATTTATCACAGTTACTAGTTTGCATTTTTGTGATTTTTTTTTGTTTTGTTTTTTAGAAATGCTTATTTCCTAGTAGAATATCATTCCACTTGTATCCTACAGTTAGTGACATCTGATTACTGGTTTCTAGATGTTCGAGACTAGTCTCCCGGGCAGGTCCCGGAGACAGCCTCTTCTCAACACTGCTGAGGAGTGTGAGACGTCCTCTGTAGACACGAGACCTAATTCCTGCTGCTCCAGGAACTACGACTGGAGGCTGTCAGGACAACTACAGTCCCTCAGGCTGAGCTCTCGGCTCAACATGTAGTCCTGATATCTAGGCCACAAGATTTGGTCCACAGTACTCTGCGAAGTACTGCGAAGTACTTGTGAAGAAGCTCTTGGGCAACAATGCAAATGAGACCACACCTGAATTTTGACCTGTTCCCTACCATTCTGCTGTCCTCTGAAGCAAAGTCAGGACTTCCCAAAAAAGCTTTCCCGCCGGGCGCGGTGGCTCAAGCCTGTAATCCCAGCACTTTGGGAGGCCGAGGCGGGTGGATCACAAGGTCGAGAGATCGAGACCATCCTGGTCAACATGGTGAAACCCTGTCTCTACTAAAAATACAAAAAATTAGCTGGGCATGGTGGCGCGTGCCTGTAATCCCAGCTACTCAGGAGGCTGAGGCAGGAGAATTGCCTGAACCCAGGAGGCGGAGGTTGCGGTGAGCCGAGATCGCGCCATTGCACTCCAGCCTGGGCAACAAGAGCGAAACTCCGTCTCAAAAAAAAAAAAAAAAAAAGCTTTCCCTTGTCTATTAAACTGTCACCAGTAAATGACTGTGACAAAGCACCAACGGAAGCACATGCCTTGGGAGCCCGAGTGGCTCCTGCACTGGCTGCTTAAGGCCGGCAGTGCCTGATGCTGTTCTCAATCCATCCCATGCAATGAACAGAAACCCCAGGACTGAAGTGGCTTAAACTCTTTGTCACACAATCCAGGGCAGTGTAAGGCAGGCAAGTCCTGGACTAGAAGGGTTGACAACTCGATGGGTCTCCTACAGACGTCATGTGTGGGGCCAACAATATCTATGAGAAAGGGCAACCATCCCTGGAAGCCCTGAGACCCTCATCTCAGGTGCTCTCAGCCAACGCTGGATCATGTCCATACCTATTCTGTCAATGCGGAGGCAGTGAGGACCCCTAAAGGGCTTAAACAGGGTGATTACTTTTTTAGCTTGTTACATAGAATCCAAAAAAACAGATTCAGTAAAGGCTCTGGGGTGGGCTGAAAAGGGCCCTCCAAAAGACCCACGTCCTATTCCCTGGAAGCTGTGAATGCATCCTCATTTGGCAAAGCCTTTGCAGATGTGACTGAAGTACAGGTCCTGAGATGTGCAGATGATCCTGGATTATCTGGGTGGTCTCTGAATGCAATTACATGTATCCTTACAGGAAGGAGACAGAGATAGAACAGAGAGATTTGAAAATGCTGGCCTTGAAGATTTTGGTGATGTGATCACAAGCCATCAGAAGCCAAAAGAGGCAGGGAATAAATCCCCCATGGAGCCTCTGAAGGGAGCTGGGCCCTGCTGACACTTTGATTTCAGTGCAGTGTTACTGATTTCAGACATCTGGCCTCCAGAATTGTGAGAGAATACATTTGTATTATTTTTAAGCCACCAAATTTGTGTAATTTGGTATAGTAGCCACAGAAAACCAGAACAGCTTCTTCTTAAAAAGGGCCTGGGTAATATACCAAAAAAATTAGCTAGGCATGGTGGTGTGCACCTGTAGTCTCTGCTACTTAGGAGGCTGACATGGGAGGATTGCTTGAGCATAGGAGGTTGCAGCTACAGTGAGCTATGATCATGCCACTGCACCCCAGGCTGGGCAACAGAATGAGACCCTGTCTCAAAAATAAAGAAAAAGGCCTTCCAAGGTCACCCAACTCAGCCCTTCATGGCTACAGTCTGCCTTTTTCAGCATTTCTCCTTCCTATATGGCTACTGCCAACTCAGACTCTGCTTTCTAATGATGCTCAGAAATCTGGTAGTTAACCAAAGTTAGACTGTGAGAACAGCAATTATAAATAAAACCCCATCTTCCAGGACAGAACATTAGGATCTAGCTGACCCTTCATCCTGACCTCCCAGCCCTCACCCATGCTAAGCACTTTCCAACAGCTCAGTGTGTCTCAAAATGTGGTCCAAGGACTGCCTGCATTGAATCACCCGAGGCACTTGTTAAAGATGTAAAGGACTCCATCCCAGACTTGCCAAATAAAATGTTTAGGGTTGAGGTAAAGAAATCTGCACTTTTTTTTTTTTTTTTTTTTTTTTTTTTTGAGAGAGAGTTTTGCTCAGACTGGGTGAGGTATAGAAATCTGCACTTTTTTTTTTTTTTTTTTTTTTTTTTTTTTTTTTTTTTTTGAGACGGAGTTTAGCACAGGCTGGAGTGCAATGGCACGACCTCAGCTCATTGCAACCTCCACCTCCCAGGTTCAAGTGACTCTCCTGCCTCAGCCTCCCAAGTAGCTGGGATGACAGGCACCTGCCACCGCACTCAGCTAATTTTTTGTATTTTTCGTAGAGATGGGGTTTCACCATGTTGGCCAGTCTGGTCTCCAACTCCTGACCTCAGGTGATCCAGCTGCCTCAGCCCCCCAAAGTGCTGGGATTACAGGCATGAGCCACCGTGCCCGGCCTGAAATCTGCACTTTTGACAAGCATCCCAAGTGACTGTTAGCACACCGACTCTCAAGAACCTCCACTATAGAAGGAGTCAGAAGTGACCCAACAGTACTTCTCCCTGTGGCTCGATGGCAAAGCCTCTGACCCTGGGCCAAGTGCTAAACTTCTCTGGGGAAAGCTACTGCCATGGCCCCTGGTACTGGGTGCTTGTGATGAATGCCAGGCAGAGCCCACAGAGAAATCAAAAGAGTCTTGTCCCCTCATGCCTTTCATGCTGCAAACAGTTACAAAGGCATTCCAGGAGTTGGGGACCACAAATTCTTTTGAGAACATGCATCACAATTAGGCAATTCATGTTAACTTTTTAATTAAAAAGACCATCACTAAACAGTAATAGTTTACAAATGCATGTACCTTTTGATCCCACGATTCCACTTTTGGGAATTTATCCTAGAGATACATTTTATGCTTGTACATTTGTACAAGATTATTCACTGAAGAACTGATTGCCATTGCAAAAGACTGGAGAGAATCCAAATGCTCATCATTGTGGAGCTGGTGAAATAAATTATAACACATTTATACAATGAAAAAAATGAAGAAATGGCATATGAATTGATATGGAAATGTCTCCCAGATAGTTAAGGGAAAAAAGGTGAAGAACATGCATATAACATGCTAACTTTTGTGTATTAAAAGAGAATGTGAGACTCTACATTCCCGTTTACTTGTATATTCATAAAGAAATGCTGGATGTAGGGATGCGAACAGTGGCTACCTCTGGGTCAGGGTAAACAGGAACTGAGCAGGTGGGGAATACGGATTGGAGGGAGACTTTTCACTCTATATATGATTATAATGTTTGGGTTTGGAACCATGTGAATGTATTATTTATTCAAGAAGTAATTTTTCGTATTATTGTATTATCCCTGAATAAATAATACAATAAAATATAAAACATACATTCATTGCGGCCCTCTGCACGAGCAATCTGGTTGTTGTTCAGTTCCAGTTCCCCACACCCAGAAGTACTGGTGTCCTCTCTAGGCTTGGTACCTGTGTAGAACTCTTCAGACTGGGTGTTGCAGAGGCCAGCACCATTCCTGATGTCACCCCGGGTGAAATGTGATCCTCAGAGCAGAATGCAGATTTCCTTTTTTGTCTTTTTCCTTCTTCCATATGTTCTAAGAAAATGTAGATTTCCATTGTCTAAAATGACAGCGAGAGGATGGGTCTTTAGTTTCTCATGGAGGAGAAGCAGCCCCACGAAGGTTCCGGGATTGGGTCCGCTGTGCATGGGACAGCTCCCTGTACTGCATCTAGTAGTGAGGCATCAGCTGCTCCTGACTCATGAGGAAGGAGTGGTGGTAGCGATCCCGAGTGGCGAAGTCTGCGTTCTCCTGGGTGAGCTGAGTCATCTCCATGTCAACCTTAGCCAGGGATGGCGCCAAGATGATCTGCTCCCGAGGGGACCGCAAGCTCCTGCCGTGAGACACACGCAAAGGATGGTGAGAAGGACAGAACAGAGACTGAACACGAAGGTGAGTCTATCAGGCATAGAGAAATTATTTGCAGACACACATGTATTTAAATGTTTAAAACATAATTGTTGAAAGGTATATGTACAAGAATATATGAACCCAAAGCATGAGAAATACAAAGTATCAAATACAATAAAGAGAGAGAGTGTGTGATATTTACCCTAAGCAGAAAAGTATAAAGCTATACCTACCTGATAGGGAATAACTGATAAAGAGAGGTGCTGCCTTCCAAATGGTGTCATGTTGGGCTCTGTAGCTTCTCTTTGTTCTTGTCAAATGAAAAATAATGCAATGGAGAGGCTGGAAAATTGAGAAGAGTGGAAAGAGAAATCTTCTCGTAGATTTATTGAAAAGAAAGTTGAATAAGGATGAATGATTTCAAGAGCTAAGGCTCACACAGCAAGCAGCGAAGAGGGACGGCAAAGGCTTTTGACACCAAGGTGGCCTCAAGTGAAGAGCAAGTCCCATTTAGATCCCACTGTCACTGGAGTCTCTGCATACAGCTTGAGGTGGGATAAACTGGGAAAGAATAATGTTAGGGATTCGTGGGGAAAGTGCTAAGAGGAAGAAAGGAGTGAGGAAAGCTCAGGCTGGCTGACCAGGCAGCTGCAGAAGGCAGATCCAGTCATAGCTCTGTCCCTAATCAACTTGGTGGCCTCTGGAAGCCTTTTTACCTCCTTGAGTCTCTATTTTCTCATCTTCCCGGGTCTCTTCCAGTTCCTACAGGCTGTGTTAGCTCCTTAAGTCATACCTTAGGCACGAATTTCCTCTGAAAATTTTTACTCTAAAAGAATCATCTACTTTATGAGTAGCAAGATGCAATTATTTGAATATGGACTATACTTGAGAGTTGTGAAAAGGCAGAAATCTAATATTATAGATCTGTGGAACTTAAACAGAACATTTCAACAGACTCTGGCCAAATGTCCTGCTATAGAAGTTTAGATTACATGACTATGGCATTACAGCCACTTGTTGAGAACATGTATAAATTATAATTTAGGTCTCTGAGGGTTCTTGAGAACTTAATTAACTTCTATAAAGGCTGAATCTCCGAAAAGTTTAGGAGGTGACAAAAATGCCATACCAGTCAACATGTAAGTCTTTTTGCTAATGTTTTGATTTTTGTAGGTGAAACCATTACATTCTTCTGAGTCTGTAGAAATAATATACTTTACTCTCTAGTCTAGATTGGCTTACACATCCTCATTTGGACAGTGGCTAGTGCTTCAATAAAGAACACCTTCTCAATGACAGGTTCAACTTCAAATAGTTCATGGGAATTGTAGGCATAACACAGCAAGTAACCTAGCCAAATTCTTCTGCCAAAACACACTCTACATTCTTCTTCTTTTTTGGTTTTGAAGAGTATTTGGGTGTTATAGTTGGGGATTGGAAAGGGAACTCAAAATTACAAAGTAGAAACACAGCTACCAATCTCTATTTTTATTTTATTTTTTGAGACAAAGTCTCGCTCTGTCACCCAAGCTGGAGTACGGTGATTGATCTCAGCTCACTGCAACCTCTGCCTCCCAGGTTCAAGCAATTCTCAAACCTCAGCCTCCCAAGTAGCTGGGACTACAGGTGGGCACCACCACACGCAACTAATTTTGTATTTTTAGTAGAGATGGTGTTCTGCCATGTTGCTGAGGCTGGTCTTGAACTCTTGGCCTAAGTGATCAGCTTGCCTCAGTCTCCCTAACTGCTGGGATTACAGGTATGAACCAGTGCATCTGGCCAATCTCTATCATTCTTTTTTGTTTGTTTGTTTGTTTGTTTGTTTGTTTTGAGACAGGGCCTTATTCTACTGCTCAGGCTGGAGTGCAGTGGCACAATCTCAGCTCACTGCAATCTCCACCTCCTGGGTTCAAGTGATTCTCCTGTCTCAGCCTCCACAGTAGCTGGGACTATAGGCACCTGTCACCATGCTAGGCTAATTTTTGTATTTTTAATAGAAATGGGGTTTTTCTATGTTGGCCAGGATGGTCTCAAACTCCTGACCTTGGGTGATCCATCTGCCTCAGCTTCTCAAAGTGCTGGGATTACAGGCATGAGCCACTGTGCCTGGCCTTTCTTGGTTCTCTCAATCTCCCGAATAACCATCCCAAATATCACCCAGCAGCCATAGTGAGGCCAACAAGTATTGATGTTGACTTAGCTGAGGCCTCTGCCACCCACCTCATAGCCCACAGAGCCTGGTGTTTGTGTTATGAATGGTGTGGACTGATTCTACTCCAACAAAATTACTGTCCTTTTCTAAGAATAATCTCCCCCTAGTACATTTTTCTTTCTACATAGCACTGCTGTGACCCCCAAGCTGAAATCCCAGGAATTCAGAGTGCAACATAACAAGTGGTGACCTCCTATGGCATTTTTAGGCTTTAAAACCAGAAATGACTAAAAATATTCTTGTAAATCAGGCAAAGCAAAACAGTCTCACCCACACACCACTTGCAGCTCCAGAATCTGTAGGCAGCTTTTACACAGAATCTATTTCCATTTAAATTCTACTCTTTCTCAGGACTGGGTTGTAGGGGAGAAGAGATCAGTGTAGACATGTGATGACCTGGGTCACCCAATCTTGTGCGTCAGACAGGACAAGAAGCAGAGAGATCACTCACCCTCCCTGCAGCTCCACACAGGACATTGAGCCCAGCTGGCTCAAGCAATGACAGGGTGCTTCCCATGCACCCCAGCCTCCAGCCCTGGGCCCTATCCCTGTTGGTTTCTACAGCCCTTGCTGCTGCCTCTTGTCATTCCAAGCTCCAGCATGAAGGCTTTATTTCTTGTGCCATCTTAAATAGATTGTCGGTGTTTGTGAAGAGTTGTCTTAAAAAGGATTCTTGGAATGGAGAGTTAGTGTTTCATGGGTATGGTGATGGTAGCACAGCAATGTGAATGTCCTTAATGCCACTGAACTGCACACTGCACATAAACACGGTTAAACAGTACATCTCATGTTACATGTATTTTACCTTTTTTTTTTTTTTTTTTTTTTTTTTGAGACAGTCTTATTTTGTCAACTAGCTGGAGTGCACTGGCACGATCTCAGCTCACTGCAACCTCCATCTCCTGGATTCAAGCAATTCTTCTGCCTCAGCCTCCCTAGAAGCTGGGATTATAGGCATGCCACCATGCCCAGCTAATTTTGTATTTTTAGTAGAGATGGGGTTTCACCATGTTGGCCAGGCTGGTCTTTAACTCCTGACATCAGGTTATCTTCCTACTTCCCAAAATGCTGGAATTACAGGCATGAGTCACTGCACCCAGTCCTATTTTACCATAATTTTTTAAATGAGGTGAGGAAAAGCATTATGAAGTTACATCTGGGCTCAATGGGAAAGGATCCCCTGATCTGCTAGCAATGTTTGGACACGGAGAGTGGAAATATTAGCGAGTACAACCTAGACATCTAAAATTTCAAAAAAGAACCAACAAAATGCGACCAAATGAACATTCGGTTGGGTTCTGCCTGGATTTTCCTAGCCTGCAGCTCTAGCTACTCACTGATATTGAAAGGGGACAGAAGGGTGGGTATAATGCCCCAGAATCCCAAGCCTTAAAAGCTAAGAAGCATTGGTACTGCAGGAGTGCAGGAGGAGGAGTGAGATTAAGACACGTACGTAATATACCTTCTCTATGAGGCTTCTATTTCTCAGGAGGGTTTTTTTTCCTGTTTCCTGTATAACTGACCATGGAGGTTCCACAGAAATCCTTCAGGATCTCCAATTTCTTTCTACACTTGGCCTCTGCACTGTCCCCAACCCAGGAATGTCAACTACTTCTGACTCAGACGGAAAAATGTGCATCTTGGCGTGACATTTCCCTTGGGCTTTAATCTTGTATGTGATTATGCATTGATGCTAATGTGTCTTGGACTGTAAATTGACTGAGAGGAGAGTAGTAACTTACCACCCCAGCGACCAGATTCTAAATAAAGCCTCTGTTCTTGATGACTGAGGATAGGAAGGAAAGAGGACATGAGCCTAAGGGAAGCTTCTGATGAGCTGAATCTGGGGGCTGAGTGTGGTGGAGTATAGATGGGAGCAACATTTGAGTCTCCCAGAGGTTCCCATGCCACAATCCAGGCCCAAGCCCAGTCAGGAATGAGACACCCTGGGCACCTCCCAGGACTCTGGACACTCATCCATTCTGGTACAGACCTGCAGGAGGGGATCAAGAGAGACCTCATCCACCGGAAAAAGCTGAAGTTGGAGGCTGATCCTGCAAGGAAGACATATACATAACCATTTTTGAAGGTTCTACATATGCATCTAGAAGCTCAGTTTTAATAGGGCGAATGCATACCCCAGTACATACACATGCACAGGATTCACACTTATGTTTGCCTTTTTCAGTTTAACCAAATAATATGCTCTGTAATCCTCCATGACAGCAGCCTACTAAAGACTTTTACTCATGTGAGTCTTTCAAAAATTTATTTCTAAACTCCAAAATCACTCCCAAAAAACTGGACAAAGTGCTATAAAGAAAAATGCAGAGTTGCTAACTTTAGTCTTAGGAATTTAAAAGTTTTGATAATTTTTAAAGATTCATACTCATAAGTGTTGAATACACCCTATAAAAATTTTCTACTAGACCATACAGTCATTGAGAATAGAGAACATGTCTTCTTCATCCCTATAATCCTCACAGTACCTCACAGGATCTGGCACTTAGGAATTTTTTTAACAGATGTTAAGTGAATCAAATAGGTCCATATGTAGAAATGTTAGAGCTGAGGTTTGAAGTGACATTGTTGTTGGTTCTAGCCAAATAATCCTGACATCAAACACACTTATTTGAATAGGGTTTATCAATTTAAAAAAATCCATCCCTCTTTTGGTGTAGGTTTAAAAAAATTCACATGGTTAGTTACATATAACTTTAGAGAAACAAATCAAATGTGATTTTAGAAAATGCTTTTCTAGGCTGGGTGTGGTGGCTCATGTCTGTAATCCCAGTACTTTGGGAGGCCAATGCAGGCAGATCACAAAGTCAGGAGATCGAGAGCATCCTGGCCAACATGGTGAAACCCTATCTCTGCTAAAAATATAAAAATTGCCAGGCATGGTGGCACACACCTGTAGTCCCAGATACTTGGGAGGCTGAGGCAGGAGAAATGCTTGAACCCAGGAGGCGGAGGCTGCAGTGAGCTGAGATCACACCACTGCACTCCAGCCTGGGTGACAGAGTGAGACTCTGTCTCAAAAAAAGGAAAATGCTTTGTTAAATTATATAGACATATAATTAAAAATTGATTAATTAGATAATGTTCAATATATGATCAGGAAAACAGCATTATTTTAAGAGGCTTCTGTTAGAATCTCCACAAATATCAACAGTATGCAGCTGATAACCAGTTTCCTCAATGTCGTTTTGGTCCTTATTGCTAAAGAGAAGATAAATTTTAGATTTGCATTAATATCTGCAATTTCAAAGAGAAGATTTCTAATATATTTTGAGATTGTCAGAAGGAAGAACATAAACAAACATTTTATTAAGTGACCCTACTTAAGTGTGATCATTTAAATTCTCTCTCTTTTTTTTTTTTTTTTTTTTAGACGGAGTTTCGCTCTTGTTACCCAGGCTGGAGTGCAATGGTGCGATCTCGGCTCACCGCAACCTCCGCCTCCTGGGTTCAGGCAATTCTCCTGCCTCAGCCTCCTGAGTAGCTGGGATTACAGGCACGTGCCACCATGCCCAGCCAATTTTTTGTATTTTTAGTAGAGACGGGGTTTCACCATGTTGACCAGGATGGTCTTGATCTCTTGACCTTGTGATCCACCTGCCTCAGCCTCCCAAAGTGCTGGGATTACAGGCTTGAGCCACCGCGTGCGGCCAATCATTTAAATTCTAAATAATTTAAATTTGATGGACATTGGACTGAAATTTGATTTCATGTTTTCTTGTAAATAGATTTCTAGAAAATATTTAAATATTTAAATTTAAATTTCTTAGGAAACTTTTTAAGAAACACAGAAGCAATCACTGAAGTAATCACTGTTAATTAAAATATATTCTATATTAGTATAATTAAAATACAAAATATATTCTATCCATGAAGTCAGCTAACATAAGGACCTCTTCTTAACATTACTGTTTTTTCTAAATTATTTTTTTAAATATACAAATGACTTAAAATGTTTGAAATGCATCATTCGGAAGAACTTTTTTTTTTTTTTAATTTGCCTAGATAGTTATGGGCTGCCTGATTTAGTTAGTAGTGGTAACAATTTGCTTTATTTTAAACTGGGCATCATAAAATTTTGCTGGAAAGGGTTCTCTTAACATATTTTTAAACAGCTTTATCATTGAGGAATAATTGATATGCAATAAACTGTATGTTGACTATATTTTCTTATTTTCTATATTCTGGATGCTCTCGAATTTTGGCCCTTAATCCTGGAGGGTCTAGCTAATTCCTAGATGCTGAATAGCAAACAATTCCCCTGTAAGTGGGCTTTTGATACACAAACCAACCAATCCAGGGCCCACCCTTAATTTAGTTCTTTATCAAATCTCACACATCAAGCCAGTATTCCCCCTGCCCTAAATCACACCAAGACCAGACAACTATAGATCATCCCTATAGCCCAGAGCCTGCTGAAATCACTTGAATTATTCAGTCCTAACCTCACTCAGTGTACCTACCCTGCCTGGTTCATTCCTTTCCACACACACACACAAAAAAAAACAAAAAAGGCTCTAGACCATGGTTTCCCCTCTTCCTCTTCTGCCCCATGACTAACCCTCGTCCATTCCCACGTGGCCCTGCATGGCATGCCAAGCCTCCTGTTTCTAATGACCTTCCTCCTTCCTGATAGTCGTTTCCATGTCTGTGTATGTTTTACCACACCCGATTAAAACAAATCCTGGGTACATAGGCAGAAAAAACTGCATGTAAAGAACATAACTTTATGACTGGTTTATTGGGACATAATCCCACCATTAAGTCAAGGAGTATCTGTATTTAAAGTATACTATTTGGTCTGTGTGTGTATACATACACACATCCAACCATATATACACTGTGAAATCATCACCCAAGTAAGATAATGAACATGTCTAGCACCTCCAAAAGTTTCCTCAAGCCACTTCATTAGATATCTCTCCCATGTACCCTTACTTCACTCCCACCCAAAAGTATCCACTGATCTGCTATCATTATAAATTAAACCCAGCCTTACCAGCATTTTTTGAAGATCAGAAGTCCTTAATTTTGATAAAGTCCAATTTATAATTTTTTTCATGCTTTTGTTGTATTTAAGAAATCTTTGCTCACAGTCACAAAGGTTTTCTCTTACATTTTCTTCTAGAAACTGTATAGGTTTAGGCTTCACATTTAGTTCTAATATCCATTTTGAGTTATATATTTATATGGTATGATATCTGGGTGGAAGTCTACTTTCTGCTTATGGCTTTGTGGTTGTTTCAGTGCCATTTGTTGAAAGACTGTTTTTTCCCTTCCACTGAATTACCTTTGAAACTTGTTCAAAAAGCAGTTGGCCATATGTGTGTGGGTCAGCTTCCAAATCCTCTGCTCTGTCCACGGATTCACTTGTCTAGCTTTTCCACACCACACTGTCTTGATGACTTTAGCTTTAAAATCAGTCTTGAAATCAGGAAGTGCAAGTCTTGCAACTTTATTCTTGTTTTACAAAATTAGTTGGGCTATTAGGGTCCTTTGCATTTCCATATAAATATTTTAGAATCTGATTGACAGCTTCTATAAAAAGGCAGCTGAGATTTTGACTGGCATTATATTAAAGCTATAAAAAAATTGGGGATAATTGGAAATTTAAGAATATTAAGTCTTCCAATTCATGAACATAGTATATCTCTTCATTTATTTCTTTAATTTACTCTTTAATTTTTTTCAGAAATGCTTTCTCATCTGTAAACTAGTGAATTACATTGATTAACTTCAAATGCTAAATGAACCTTGCATTCCTGTAATAAACCCACTTGACCATGGTATATTATTCTTTTTACGTATTATTGCAATTAATTTGTTAAAAATTTTTTAGAGTTTCTGCATCTATATTCATGAGGTATGTTAGTGTATAGCTTTCCAAAGAGTTTGTATAGAGTTAGTATTTTTTCTTCCTTAAAGATTTGGTTGAATTTATCGGTAAAGCTATCTGGACCTAGGCTTTTCTCTCTGGGAAGGTTTTCAATGACCAGTTTAATTTCTTTAATAGATAAGCTGAATAGTCCTGTATCTATTTCTTCTTGAGTGAGCTTTGGTAGTTTGTATCTTTCAAGAAATTTGTCCAATTCATCTAAGTTTTCAATTGATCAAGAGAAACCTGTTTACATTATTCCTTTATTTCACTTTTAATATCTTTAAGATTTCTAATGATGTCATCTCACTCATTTCTGGCTTTGATAATTTATGCTTCTTCTTCTTTTCTGATCAGTCTGGCTACGGGTTTATCAATTTTACTGATCTCACATAATCAGTTTTTTGCTTCCTTTGTATTCTCTAATTTTCTGTTTTACATTTTATTAATTCCTACACTGATCTACTCTGATTTACTATTTCCTCGTTTTCCTTCTTACTTTGTGTTTAATTTGCTCTTCTTTTTCTAGTTTCTTAAGTTGGATATTGGGATCATTGATTTGTGAATGCTCTTCTTTTCTAATGTAAGCATTTGATGCTATAAATTTCCCTTCGCTATATCCCACAGTTTTGCTGTGTTGCATTTTCACTTTGATTCAGTTCAAAATACTTGTCATTTCACTCTGCTTTCTTCTTTGAATCATGGATTATTTCTTTTCTGAATTTTAATTAGGGTTAGGTAATATTCTTTAGTTTCTAAATATTTGGGGATTTTAAAAAAAATTTTTATTTAGGAGACAGAGTCTTGTTATTTTGCCCAAGCTAGCCTCAGGCTCCTGGTCTCAAGCAATTCTCCTGCCTTAGCATCCCAAGTAGCTGGGACAACAGGTGTGTGCCAACTGTGCCTGGCTTATTCAAGGATTTTCTGATATCATTCTATTATTTATTTCTAATTACTCCCCAATTTGGTCAGAGAACATACTCTGTTCTTGAATTGACTTTGAATACTTTTAAATTTATTGAAATACTTTTTATGTCCTAGAATATAGTCTCCACTGGTAAATGTTTCATGTATAATTGAAAAGAATGTATATTCTGCTGCTATTGGGTAGAATGTTCTGTCAATTAGTCCAGGTTTGTTGATAGTATTATTCAAATCTTCTATAGCCTTACTGATTGTATACTCATTTGTTTTACCAATTATTAGGAAAGAGGTATTGAAATCTCTGACTATGGTTGTCAACTTTTTCTTGTAGTTCTATCAGGGTTTGTTTTGCTTACTTCAAAGCTGTGTTTTTCAGTGCATAAATGTTAAGGTTTATTATGTCTTCCTTATGAGTTTTTCCCTTCAGCTTTATGAAATGATCCTCTTTATCCCTGTAATACTGTTTTCTACAAACTCCACTTTGCCTAATGTTAGTATAGCTACTCTGGCTTTGTTTTTCATTAGCGTTAGCCTGATGTATCTTTTTCCATCCTTTTACTTTTAACATGGTTGTGTTTTTATATTTAAAGGAGGATTCTTGCAGGCAGCATTTAGTTGTGTCATGCTTTTTCATTCAATCTGACAATCTTTGGCATTCAATTAGGGTGTTTAGACCATCCATATTTAGTATGATTATTGATATGGCTTGGAGTACACATACATAAACCACCTTGTTATTTGTTTTTTGCTTGCCTCATTTGTCCTTTATTATTTTTTTCTTCCTTTTCTGCCTTATTTTGATTGAGTACTTTTAATCTCCTTTATTGGCTTAGCTGTGTGTTATCTTAGGTTGCTTTAGGGTTTATAGTATACACTTTAAACTTACCACAATGTATCTTCAAGTGATGTTATAGTATTTTTTGTTGTTGTTGTTGTCTTTTTTTTGTTTTGTTTTTGAGACGGAGTTTCGCTCTTGTTACCCAGGCTGGAGTGCAATGGCGCGATCTCGGCTCACCGCAACCTCCGCCTCCTGGGTTCAGGCAATTCTCCTGCCTCAGCCTCCTGAGTAGCTGGGATTACAGGCAAGCGCCACCATGCCCAGCTAATTTTTTTTTTGTATTTTAGTAGAGACGAGGTTTCACCATGTTGACCAGGATGGTCTCGATCTCTTGACCTCGTGATCCACCCGCCTCGGCCTCCCAAAGTGCTGGGATTACAGGCTTGAGCCACCGCGCCCGGCCTGATGTTATAGTATTTAACGAAGTACAAGAAACTCACAATAGTATAGTTTCATTTCATCCTCCTAGCTCTTGTACTGTTATCCACTTTACTTCTACATGTCTTATAAACCTCACACTGTTATTGTTTTTCATTTGTAATAATTCATGTGCTTATCATAGTTCTCCTAGACTATAAACTATTTGAAAATGGGATTCACATCTGAATCAGTGTTGGCATTCAATTGGTATCCAAAACATTTTTTTCTCCCAATGAATTGTGAAGAGAATGAGGGAACCAGTGGCAAAATGGCTCTGCTGCTTACCAAGGTGAAGCCCTGGACTGGCCCGGCCAATGTAGAAATACACAATGGCAGCAACACCCATGTTAACCAGGGTATACACCCACTGTATCACAAACATGATGAGAAGGGACCCAACAGCCTGTGAAAACAGAGTAGAAAGAGCAAATCACCTAATGGCTTTCTACATGGTAAGCAAGCCACAAAGCTAAGGTCTTCAGCACCAACAGCCCCTCTCATCAACTTCTGATCACTGTAAAAGTCTGAATAATTGAAGTTTATGAATAATTAAAAACCTCTATTAAGCAGATATTTGGGCAGACACCCTCTGAAAGTAACTCTTTAATCAGAACTATCAATAAATAGATATTCTTTCTCATTTATTTGTCCCATTTCTCCCTATAAGAAACAAATTAAAATGCAAGTATGGTAACTTAGTATACCTAGAAATTTAGTAACCCAGAAGTTATCATAGACAATGATCTAAAAAGGAAATAATTGATTAAAATAAGTCATTCATTAAATGTACTCTCATCTAAATTCTAATACAATAGGCAATTAAATCACATTACTTCTAATTAAGCCCTCCATCTTTCCTCCCCATCAGCCCAAGATCACATATGTGTCCACCTGAACTTTGTCCCAAGAATAATTGAGATCAAGATGAAGTTACTCACCCCCAACAAGGAGACCCAGGGGTTGCACATGTGGCTATAGAAAGAAGTTGGTCTTCTCCAGACATCTTGTTCTTGGAGCCTGGACTTCAGGAAGAAATCTAAAAAATAGCCAAAGATTTGGCTGCCAAATTGCTACCAAACCCTCTACTACTTTTAGGACCAAATACGTATCAGCTCTTCTTTCCCAATTTTATAACTTAGCCTAAAAGACAATTCCCAGGGCTTGCTCTTGGAGAAGAAAGAAGTGTTTATGGCCTCACGCCAGCCAAGGATCGGAGAAAGAAAGGTGAGAGAGAGACAAAGTGGAGAGGAAGGTCCTCTGACACCCAAGGCACATCTGTCCAGACAGGTTATTTGGGAGAACTGGAAACTCAGCTCTCCCCTCTTTTTCACACATAAGGGGTTAGAGTGGGAGAACTAGACACCTGGTATTCTTGGCTCCCAGGTATGGCCACTGGGACTGCTGGGACAGGTTGGCTTTTATCTAATAAGAGATGGTCTTTGCTGCCTTCTGATTCTGAAAGTTAGCTCATGTTAGACTGATCTCAGGTATCAACCAGAAATTGATGAAGGAGAAAGATGGAGGGAGAATAGTTCCTCTGATTCCTTTTCCTGGGAATTGAGGTGGCTGAGGGGGAAGGGGCCTAGCGATAAACAAACACATGGTTCTGCCCCATCCTTCGTGGATTTCAGGCACGACAGTGCTTCTCAGAGCCATGCCATGTCCTATTCAGCTCTGGATTCTCAATTTACAGCTGGTTCCAGAAGCACTCAATTAAAAAAATAATTTTTGGGGGCCGGGCGCGGTGGCTCAAGCCTGTAATCCCAGCACTTTGGGAGGCCGAGGCGGGTGGATCACGAGGTCAAGAGATCGAGACCATCCTGGTCAACATGGTGAAACCCCGTCTCTACTAAAAATACAAAAAATTAGCTGGGCATGGTGGTGAGTGCCTGTAATCCCAGCTACTTATGAGGCTGAGGCAGGAGAATTGCCTGAACCCAGGAGGTAGAAGTTGCAGTGCGCTGAGATCGTGCCATTGCACTCCAGCCTGGGTAACAAGAGCGAAACTCCGTCTCAAATAATAATAATAATAATAATAATAATAATTTTTTTAATGTCATAGTAGTAAACTTTGGGCTTTTAGTGTAAACATCACCCAAATAGTGTAGACTGTACCCATTAGGCAATTTCTCATCCCTCAATCTGCCTCTTACCATCCCACTCTTCTACCTTTCCAAGTCTCCAGTGTCTATCACTCCACCCGCTGGGTCCATGGGTACACATTTTTTTTTGTTGTTTGTTTGTTTGAGACGGTGTTTCACTCTTGTTACCCAGGCTGGAGTGCAATGGTGAGATCTCGGCTCACTGCAACCTCCGCCTCCTGGGTTCAGGCAATTCTCCTGCCTCAGCCTCCTGAGTAGCTGGGATTACAGGCATGCGCCACCATGCCCAGCTAATTTTTTTTGTATTTTTAGTAGAGACGGGGTTTCACCATGTTGACCAGGATGGCCTCGATCACTTAACCTCGTGATCCACCTGCCTCGGCCTCCCAAAGTGCTGGGATTACAGGCGTGAGCCACCACACCCGGCGGGTACACATTATTTAGCTTCTGCTTATAAGTAAAAGTATGCTGCATTTGACTTTCTGTTTCTGTAGAAATGCTCAGTGTAGCTATGAAAATGCATCTAGATTATGTAACAATATGGTCTAATCACCATGAACACTACAATACTGTTTCAAACAAATGATATGTTGGATTAACTTTGCAGTATGTTTATGCTTCATTTCAACACTAAGACTTGAGGTGTTTTCAACCTTCATAGTTTGTTGCTCAGGAAATACAGTAATCACTCCCTAAGTAGCCCTTCTCTAGTCTCCAATACCAAATTTCTGCTTCAGCCAAACCCCCTTGACTGTGCCATCTCCTCTGCCCAGCCCTTCCTTCTTCACCATGGTCCAGATCTGTCTCATATACCAGTGTTCCTTCCACCTTGACCACCCCTGATGTGTCGATTCCTGGAATCTATCTGGGATCCACGTGTCACAGATCCCCTAGCTTATGCATCCCTCAAGTCTTGGCTCAGTTATCACTTCCTCAGAGAAATCAGCCCCACAGTAAAATCTAAATATATTTCCTCGTACTATTAATATTTCCTTATGACCCATTTCCTTCTCAGCACTTACCATCATTTGTAGTTGTATACTTATTTACCTGTTTCTATGACCACTGGATTACATACTTCATGGGGGCAGGTCCATATCCATTGTGAGCCTAGGGCTTGGCACGTAGCAGGACTCACTAAGTATCCTAGTCCAAGTCTTCCATCCTCTCTGGTCACTGTGGCTTTATGACCCAGCCCCTTTGAAGCACATGCCATCAGACTATTTCACACCCTCCCCTTTATCATTGCAGTCTTTCACCAACTTGTCGTTCTTCTCTTGCTTGTTAAATATTTCAGCCCCTGGCTTACCATCTTTTTCTCTATTAGCATCCATTGTCATCCTTGCTGACTTCTACAAAAACAACTCATCCAAAGTGCTGCTTTCTTGATTTCTTGAAATCCTCATTCTAATAATCTTTTCTTTCACTCATCCCAACCAACCCCCTTAGTTGCACTTGAGGTGTGGCATTACCAGGAACCTTATACTTCCGAAATCATGACTTTTAGCAACCTACTCTCAGCCCATAACGTCCTTTAAAAACAATGTTAAGCTCATTTGCTCTGCCGTTCCTCATTCCAACCATTCATAGTTTACAGAGGGACCTTTAGATACTTTGCCTTAGTATGTTTTTTATTTCCATCAGCTACTTCCCACTCTCCCTGCCCTCTTATCTAGCTTGGGTTCCACTATCCAAGACTATCAGCATTCCCCTGCATACACATTTGCTCCCATGCTTCAGCGTTACTCAGTAGCCTCCTTCCTAGCCAACTCACTCTCCTACTCTCTGACCGAACAAATTTATAAGCTCTCTTCTCCAAAGAGAACTTTTCATGTTCTCTTATCACCAATTCATTTGCCAAATCACTTGCATCTGTACTCTCTATTCTGCCGGCCTTCCTTTCACGGTGGATGAACAGCCTCTGATCCTACCTAAGGCTCATCCCTCCACTTGTGCCTGGATCCCATCCCTTTTGGCCTGTTCAAGGACTTTGTTTTTGTATCAGATTTTCTGTCCCCTACTGAATCATTCCCATCAAATCCAAGTGCACTGTCATCTCTCTCACCTAAACAAATGTCTACAGGTCACCCCTAGTTATTGCCCTATTTCTGTGTCTCCCTTATAGCAAATAGACTCAAAAGAATTTTCTGTGCAGTCTCCGTATCTCATTATTTCCTTAACCCACTCTTAAGATTCTATCCACCTTTCCACTGAAACTACTCTTACCAAAGTTGCCAATGATTTGAATCTTTTCAAATTCTGTGGCCAACTCCTAGTCCTTATCCCATTTGATCTTTCAGGCAGCGTCTGATACATGTAATTACTTCCTCCTTCTTGAAACACTTTCTCCTATAAGATGCCTCACTCTCTTGATTTTTCTATGTCACTGCCCACTCTCTCAGTCTTTTTTGCTGGCTCGCCTCCTCCTTCCAGACTGAAAATATTGGAGTATACCAACATTCAGTCTTCAGCACCCCTTTATTCCATATATACCCACTCTTAAGAGATTTCTTCTAGTCCCGTGGCTTTAAATGCTACTGATGTCCTGATGACTCCAAGTTTACATCATTCTTGACCTCTCCCTTGAACTTAACTTTTGAATAGCTCATTAGACAATGAGCTATTCAATATCACCCATTAGTTGGCTAATAAGCACCTTACACTTAACATGACTAACACAGAAATCTATATATTCTATGAAATCTGTATGCTTCATACAATTCAGTCCTCCATAAAATATCATCTTCCCAGTGAGCTCTTTTCTGATAAACCTATCTGAAACAGTGCATCTTCCTCCCCACCCTTGTCTCTCTTTATCTCATTACATCACTTTATTTTTCTTCATTATACTTATCACTTATTGACATCACAGTGTGCATTTGCTTATCATACGGCTTCCCCTACTAGAATGGAAGTGCTCTACAACAGCAAAAACCTTCTGTGTCTAATCAGCATGTGCCCCCAGCACTTAGGACAGTGTCTAGAATGTACGAGGTGTGCCATACCTGTGGGTGAATGAATAAATCATTCTACACCTTGAGAAAACTTCATCCCCTCAACATCTATTTGCATTCATCAGGTGCCTCCAAGTATTATGCTTATCTTTTTATACGTCTATCCCTTCAGGGATAAGGACCCTCTTTCATATTCTAAATGCCAACTCTAGGCATTTAGAAGTTTGTGTATAGAAAGCACTTATTGCAAGTCTCCTTATTATGGATTAAAATAAAGTCTGCAAGATTAATCTGAATGGATGGCTCTATTACTTTTAAAAAAATAATTCTGTTGTGATTGACATTAATTAAATTGTTAAAATGATACAATTTAATTAATGGCAATCATAACAGAATTATTTTTAAAATTGTATAATTTTACCAATTTAATTAATGGTAACACAGGCTTAGTAAAATGCAGTTGCCCCCTTGGTTATTAAGAAGAAACACTAGGCCAGGCGTGGTAGCTCACGTCTATAATCCCAGCACTTTGGGAGGCCAAGGCGGGCAGATCACGAGGTCAGGAGTTTGAGACCATCCTGGCTAACATGGGAAAACCCCATCTCTACTAAAAAAAATACAAAAAATTAGCCAGGTATGGTGGCAGTGCCTGTAATCTCAGCTATTCAGGAGGTTGAGGCAGGAGAATCACTTGAACCTGGGAGGAGGAGGTTGCAGTGAGCCAAGATCATGCTACTGCACTCCAGACTGGGAGACAGAGCGAGACACTGTATCCAAAACAAACAAACAAAAAAAAACTCACCCTTTACAACACTTGAACTTATACAACCTCAATTTTACTGAACCTAAAGGGAACTCTGTATGTGTGCATGCTCTGAGGAACTTGGGCAGAAGTAGTAGGAAGGGTTGTCCTCTAGGCAGGCACAATGCTGTTTTATATATCAGCAATGTAAGAGAGAATTTATGCAAAGATGCTCAAC